GCCTTTTTAAAAAATATTTGATATAAAATTAGATGATGTGACTGACGTTATGTGATGGATCTTGTGATGATTGTGATAGTATTGTGGAGAAGGTATGCATATTTGTTTGTGCCTTGTGCAAAGCTATGGTTTTACATCCTAAAACACCATAAACACATACTGCCAAAGTTTCTTTCTGCTTTAGACTTTCAAAATTCATTGAATGTAAGGAAACAAATTGGTCAAATGCCTCTCTTTAATATGATTATGATTGGCATTAATTTTTGTACAATTAACTTATCCTAAGGTGCTAATAAATTGTCTTTCTCAGAGGTAAAGTAAGGTAATGGTGGATTGTTAGGTGTTTTAAAACTATGGAAGTGATATATAATTTAGATTATGCCTCAGGCTTATTCTCATTAATTATAAATAATATTTTTTCAAAACAATATCCTGAAACTTCTACCCAATTTCTTTAGAGCATTTGCCAGTGCTCTATTTATTTTCAACAGTGCTGGACACCTTTTTTTTTGTACGAATGGCTAGTCAGTTGTAGGGATTGATTATAACCATGTTTAATTAAGTTGGGGATCAGAATACTTTGCTGGTAGAGCTGGCTCGATCACAGAGTAAGAAGTATATTAGATGATGTTATGGAGTGTGGTGGCTATTGGTTGAATCTTGCCCTTACAATAGATAGCATGCAGTTTTGCTTTTTGTCTGGGGCTGATAGCAGTGCTGGAAACACCCTTGGGAAAAGCTATAAAAACATCTGTGTTGCCTTGTCAACAGAATCTCTGTTCTTTACTTGTGTCTCAGGGATTACAGATTTTCCAAAACTTTCACCTTTATTGAGCTACTTACAGTTTTTCATACTAACAAGTTTCTTCCTTTACTGAAAGTAGTTTTAATTTTGTCTTATTATTTTGCTAAAATAATTGAAGTAGACCATTTAGGCCTTGGAATCCTCTATTTGATTGTTGTGAGAGAATGTACAAGAAGTACCTGTGATTTTATATTTTTTTTCCTACTAGAGCTGTTTTCTTTTTAATTTTTCTTAAGAGATGTAGTGATGTATTTACAGGGATATATTGGGTCACCCTTCCGTGGTTCATCTCTGTCAATGTTGTGAATAATATGATGTCAAGCATAACATATGTATCAGCCCATTATATCCATGTCGATGTATCTTTGCTAATTATGTTGTATTGTCTTTGTTAAAAGTTTCCTTTTTTGTTAAGAAGTTTAACTAGCACCTGACTTTCTTTGATCTTGGAGTAGGGCTACCATAATCTTTGATGTTATGAATTTTATCTGTTTTCTGAATATTTCTTTTTTTTAAACACTTTCCCTTTGCAAACTTTTAAATTTCCAAATGTTGGTTTATGATTCATCTTACAAATGAAAGGATTGGATTGCTTTGAATCTATACCCTCAAGATAATCAATGATGTTGCAATGTTTGACCTCTTTGTGCTATATATAGTATGATTTTCGAGTTAGAAAGAAGTTATTGTGACCCCATTAGTGAAAACAGTAAACAGTAAACTTAAAGCCGCCAATGATGGGTCGACTTTGTTCGGCAAACACTCTTGCTTTTTGTAAATCTTAAATCCACCTTTGCAATAGTCACAATTTCTGAAAATATTATATCTTTAAATATTTTGTGTTGAAGTTATTGTGACCTCAATGACAAAATTGTGACGTTTACATTTCTTTCAGGTTTGAATATGACAGCTTCCCATCCACAATGCTTTGTAATGTTTCAATGGGTCAATTTGGTGTAGGCATTCTTCCTTTGACTATTTTAAGGCGTGCTTCATATTTCTTTCAATTTTTGCTCTATTCAAAGAAAAACATTTTCTACAAGATATTGGCTGTGTCAAAATATGCCACATTTGTGTGATATTTTGGATTATTCAAATGTAAGGACCTCATTTTTTAAAAAGAAATATTGTTGCCTATTTCACAATGCTACTTAGTCATGCACCCCAATTTCGGTTTAAGTAAATATTACTGATGAAATTTTGGAAACATATCCTGTGACAATTTCTAGTATTGTATGTTCAATGAAAAGTTCACAAGGAAGGCATTGTGAAGTAAATGTTTTGCGTTCTAACTGAATGTGGTTATCTGATCTTCTCTATATCTTCCTCTTTCTTTTCATTTTAGAATTCACATTGTCAGTTCGGGTTACACTTATTTTCATGTTGTTTTATTTGTAAATGCTTTCAAAACCTAAGGCCTGTTGAATGCGGCTGTGTTACAATGTGGGCCTCACAAAAATGTTCTAGGGGTGCTTGCAAACGTTTAAAAGAAAGAAAACCATTCTTGTGATTTCTTATCTAAATTCCACCATCTGAGCATTGTCTTCTCCCACACCCACTTCTAAAAGTAAATTTTACTTACAGTCCACCTTTTATTAAGAATAAGAAAAAAATTGTAATCAAAACTTTTCAAAACTAGGTGAAAAAAGATTCTTCTTGATGAGAAAGTGCACAATTTTACATACGGTGAAAGTGGGTCACTGTGTTTGTATTTGGTTATGGTTTGGGAATGGCTAAGGAAGGTGTGGTGAAAAATAAAGGCCCTCCAAGCCAAAATGTTAGAAGCAACACATTTTGCTTTACATCACATGTCTCACCTTAGAACTTGCAATGCTTTCACAGTAGCTGGTTATTGGAAAAATATTGTTTAGCTATTACTCAAAAGTTATGAGTGCCTACATTTTTCTCTATGAATATTAAGGCTTAGGCTTATTGCAGTAGCTGCATATCTTATCTATAAAGTAAGAAGAAAAGAATGTAAAAAAAGCTGCATGTTTTAATTAGACTCCTCTTTTATTTTACTGCTCAATGTGTTGTGCAAGCTTTAAATCAAATTTATCCATATTACGTTTTTAATACCTCATAGTAGAAATGCTTCTTAGTCATGAACTATTTTAGGTGCTTTGTTTTGTTAACCAGTTATTAGTGTGATTATTCTAGTACCTCCCATTGCTTTTGTTGTAAATAATCAAGGATTTTCAAAACCAATCTACTTTGTTACTTTTAGTTGGTAGATTTATTCCTAGGATCAAAGTGCACGAGCAAGGCCTTATACTTGTAGCTATTTGCTTTTTCTTGTTTTGCTGGAAGTTAGTTTAACTGTGGAGAAGGACTATACAAATTTTAAGATTGAAATATCAGAGGTAGTACGTATTCAACTTGTAACTACTTTGCCTGGATATTGTTGAGACATTGTAAATAGATAGGTGTGCAAAACTTCCAGTCAAGGCATAGTTATCTAATTTTCCCCACATTTTGTAACAGGATAGTTTTTGAACAGTTGCCAAAAAAAATAAAAAAAAAAATCTATTGAGCAAATGGTGAAAGTATACATGTGCTGTGGCTGTTCTATTTTTTGGTGGATGAAAACCCTTAAAAAGTGCTAATCGAATTTTTGTCTTGTGTGCTTGTAAAATGTGATATGCTATTGTGTTAATTCTACATCTCTCTGTGGGTCTATTTGCCTATCCATTTCGTTGCGAAAATAAAGAGAATAAATGTCAATAGAAAACAGTTGTTTAAAATATCAGTTCAATGTGTTCCTTCTGCAATGCAACCAAACGATTGATATGTATGTCAAAGAAAGTAAAGGCACGAGTTCCAATCCATTGCCATTACTGGTAAATTTTCATTCACACTACCTTACCACATTGAGTCCCACGTGACCACATGTATAGTCACAAAGCACGTGATTAATGACCCCCTGGGACTCAACGTGTTAACTGTTTGAGATCATTTCTTCATTCAGTGCAGTACATGGAAGTGCCAGATGAATAATATTCAAAATGAAAATAAGGCTTTACACTGAACTGGAAGGGATGATTCTTGAAAATGAGAAGGGTTAATGCAACATACATTTCATTGTCTCCTTTACTCAGAAACTATTAGACACACAGATATGATATCACAGACTTGCAACTGATGTCAAATGCCACTCTGTGGTACAGTAGTAAGTACATTAAATCATACAAAATGACAAAAGAGAACAGGACATTAAAAAACTTACAATACAAATTCCTGGAAAAGTAAAATAGTATTTTCAAATCAAACCCGTTTCTGAAGGGTTTTTTTTTGTTCTGCTTTCCACTACCCAACTACAATAAAAGCAGAGAAAACATTATTAAATTGACTGCTCAAAGTATTAAACTTCCTTTACATTAAAAAAACAAAAAAATTGACATTTTGTTACCTCTGATCTGGAGTGTAAGGCATAAACAATGAAAAAAGCGTTTTGACAAGTAAGATGATATAAATTTCAGATAAATGAGCCTAATATTTTGTCTTCCACATCTAAAACTGATGATCATGTTACAAGCAAGCTTCATCCATCACAAGAGCCCTTCAGAAGATGCATGCAAAGTATACTCCCTCATTGTGAGTAAACTACTCAAAAAGTTACTATTAGAATGATTGCAGCAGGCTTATATATTTTTTTTAATGAAACACCTTAAGAACAATTTCACTAGATACAAACAAGTACCTGTGCAATTATAAAATTTCAATGCAAATTAAAGAAACATTTAAAAAAAGATCTAGAACATAATATAACAATTACACATTAAAATAATAGTAGGAAATAGAGAGGAAGCTTGAATTTCATTTAATGTTCAAAGCACATGACAGAAATGAAGGTACTTTCACTTGCATCCTGGAAAGAAATTGAAAGTGACCTGGCAGAAAAAGTAAAATTACTCAAATCTCACAGGGGCAGCTTTGCAGAACTGCTTTCTTTCAGTAACTACTACCTGAATTGAAACTGATCAGAAAATCGATGAAGATTCTGAATACAGTAAAGCAGTCAGCAAAATAAAAAGATTTAGGCAGTGATAAACTGAGAAAGACAACTTTCCTTCAGACATAAAGCACGAAATTGGCCAAAGATCAACATAGAATACTGATTGATTAAAAAATATTGAATAGATCAGGCAGGTGGAAATCTTAGCAGAAAATACCTGTCACAAATCACACCAAAACCAGCATAACACCAATACATTAATGTAAACCAACTAAATGAACATTTCTGATTTTATTATTTTTAGAACAAAACAAAAAAACAAAAACAGCAATAATAGCAATTACCAAATGAAAAATTTCTTTGAGAGGGTCCAATTAGTGTATGAATAAAATACTAAGTATTCAAGATAGACATTAATAGATACGATTACAGGGAAACATTACTGTTTACTAACAAAGTATGAAACTGACAAACGATAATGAATAGATCATCCTGTTTAAACAAACGTGTACCTAGTCACTTCAATTTCATTGAAATTTCTCTCAACACAAGTAAACGGAAACATTAGGTACATACTCCTAAAATATAAGTGATGACGTAATAACATGAAACAACAGTACATCAAGCTTGAATATTAAGCATAAAAACAAGACCATACAATTTCATTACATTAGGAAAGTTTTGCTTAGACAATTACAATTCTATCATAAACATTATGTAATTGTACATCATGTCTCTGCTTTTTCCAAAAAGATTAAAGAAAAAAAAAAACAAGAAAACTACTTTAACCTGAGTCTTGGTTCAGATCTTGGTCCATGGTGGAATCCAGCCTTTCTATTAAGTGATCAATGTTTGGCTTCATTGGCTCCTCTAAATTCAGTTCTGGAAAAGCAGCACCTGTGGAAAAAAGTATTCAACTCAGGAAACTCACGTGTTACAGAGAATCAGGGTCTTAGGTATGAGCATTATTTGCATTGATGTAAAGAAAGAAAGAACACGCCTTTCTTAAAGTCTTCAATAAGCAGACGCAACCATGTGAGATGTCATCGCCACACTTTAATGATTTTTCCATACTCTGCCTGTTTACTTAAAACCCTACATGTGATAATAGAGAATACACTCACCTTGCTTTTGATAAAACAGAATGTATGCATTGCTATAGTCCTCCTCTTGAGGTTTTTGATGATTTACAGTATCATCATTAAAATTGTGCCAGTCAGAACTGACAGGATGTTTAGCATAGGCAGTGTAATGACCCGCTGAGACACCTATTGATCAAAATTTCGTTAAATTACCTATCAAGATAGAACAAAGAGTACAGTACAGTGTATTCCATTTCTTGAATCAAAATTACCTCCATAGTGACAAACACACGCGTATAAGTTGTAAATGTGAGGAGAAACCTGATGGTTGCTTGAAGGTGCATTTACTAAAAGACCATTAAGAGGGTAGGTCACCTTGTTATCCAACTTTGTGCTCATCCCATTATGAAAGACAAACCTATAAAGAAACACATCATCCACAGGAGTGTAAAATTGACAAAGCCTAATAGATAGTAATTCTATGGTAATGAATTATGGTCACAAACCTCTTCAAATAAACAATCAGAAAATCTGGATAGCGCCAAACAGAAAGTGTTTTTGTTGCACACTGATTCTTTTGACAAACAGGACAGAACCATGGATTATGCTCATCAAGTAGTTCACTGCAATTAAGAACAATTATCAATAAAATTGTATTGTACAAGAAGAAACTTGAAGAACAAAATGTTAGGTAAAGAAAGAGGCTTGGATGCTGTGTTTGAGTTCCAGTTAACACGTTCCTTGCGGCATGACTACTATGTGGTCACGCTTCCATGTTAAATCATAGGCATCAATAATGAGATGCAGGGAATGTGTTAATGATTGTTCGGCTAATGTCAAGTTTACCCAGTCAACTTTCCCGCGGGCTAAACACAAAAAACACTAACACGAAAATCTAACTTTAGAGTCATCTTTGACGTCACATTGAATGACTTTCTGCCTAAATTTTGTGGGTAGGCAATGGTAAAATATTTACCTACCTTTCACTAAATGCTTTTAAACAGTCATATAGGGAGAGAGGGTCATGGCTCCTCATGTCTTGCACACTGGGATGATTAATGGGTTGAGACTCAGTTATGTTTTCCGTGAAACGAACAGCAAGAGTATCAACAGGACGTAACAAAATTTCTCCATCAGTAGGAACAGGACAACCACGGCAATGCTTTGTGTACAGACAGCGAGAGCAATGATAACCCTAAAGAAAAGGACAAAACAGATTCAGAACTGCCTCAAAATATTTAAAGATATAGCAATTACAATATCTTCAAGGAAGTATTGCAAATGAAGGGTACTTACAACACCATCGACAGTGAGAATTGTGTAACTATCATCAGAATGAACCAGTCTTTTAATAATTGAAGCCAGCTCAGTTGCTGGCATTGCACTTGGCAGCTTCAAAACATTAGGATGGCCAAAAAGTTTTAAGGATTTCTGATTATTATTTCCATCTCCTTCGGTATCTAATCTGAACACAACAGGTACGTTCAAAAGCCTGAGAAACAGAAAGTCAATAAGTGAAAGTTCTAGCACAATGTAAGACATTAACGGAATAAAACATTTTACACACCGTACAGCAGGCTTAGATGAAATAAATTTATCAATGCGAACAAATTCTGAATTGGGTTTAACAATTTGATTACACATAGGGCATGGCATTGTGTCCGAACTGCCATTGTGTTTGCAAGCATTCTAAAAATTAAAATGATTAAAATAGCTAAATGTAAGTAAATATATTATCAGTTTTTAATAATATGTATTAAAGTGTCAAGCTCTTACCTCAATACATCCTTCACAGAGAACACATTCACAACCTACATGCCTTCTCATGTCTTTGTTCATTTCCTCCAAGCATATTGCACAACTCTTCCAATCATCACCTCTGTCGCAACTGCTGTAAGATTCAGCCACAACATCTACCCTGATCGAAGAATGTCGTGAAAATATAGGACGGCAAGATGGGAGCCCTGAAGGGGGACTTCCTGACTTATCTACCAAGTCTTCATCATCACTTGAAGTTACTTCATGATCTGAGACACCAGCTGAATCAGCGGTAAGCTTATCATCAAGGCTTTCAAGAGCTTCTCCAGTCTCAGAATCAACTGATAAAGGTGGAGGTTCACAACCCTGAACATACATGTGACATTGGTGATTGATACTGAGAAATGGTGAGTTAAGTAGTTTAAATGAACAGACATATGCTTACTAGTACAGGAAGATCTTCCTCCAAAGGGTCAGGTACATCAATCAACTCCATGCATTCACTTGGTTGCTTGGTTCTTTCAAACCAAGCTGGTGGAGGAACTACTTCCAAAGCATAAATTGTTCTATTTGTGTCATTTACATATCGTAATGGTGTTATATCATCCTGCAAAGATAATAATCCAATCAGTAAAATGCTATCCTACTATAAAAACACCATCAAATTGTGTGCGCTTACGAGAAACTTTGCAATGTGATGATCAAACACTTCTGCTAACACTAAAGTAACACCGTCATCAAGAACATGTCCTTCTTTTAAACGCAATGCAATAATTGCATCTCTGAGATGGCGAACTTTATCCTGTTTGTTCATTGTAAGAAGAACTTTTACAATAGGACGAGTCTCTAAGGGAACATAAGTTAAACCTGTAAATGATAAAGCAGGGTATCAAGATGTTTGCAGATACAAAGGAGACACTTTCAAAGGAAGAAAACACTTACATATTTGTCTTTCCATGGCATGAGGTAAAGGTACAGAAAGATACATAAACGGTTCGTAGGTAACAGAGATGTGTTTGCATTCAGAGCAAACCACCTGATGGATTAAAAAAGATAACAGAAAATTATTACAAAATAAAAAAGATGGCAAAAACTTTATCTTTTTATCAAAAACAAACTTACTGTGCTTTTAAATTGTCCTAAAAATGTATCAGCTACACAGCTTCTATTGGATGACAAATGTTTCTCCCAATGGTGGTCAGCATTGACATCTTCCTTTGGACTGGCAACATTTCCATTATGATGAGCAATGTGGTTATCATTGTTCTCTGGAAAAGATTCCATTGCCACACAGTCTTCAGTATCAGTCAGTTGTGTTGAAGATGAAGAATCTGTTGATGGACAATCCACAACACTCCTTGTTGTATTCTTGGAAAATTGTGAATTTGTTTCATTATTAATTTGCTTTGTACTTTCAGGAGCTTCATTAACTGCCTCTGTTCCATCCATGATTGAGTTGAAATGGTCTTTTTGGCAGTTGTTTTGTTCTGTTAACTTTATTCTTTTAAGGTCCAGCCCTCCTGACTCAGCATTTTCACAATCTCTCTGCTCCTGGGTTAGATTGGTATCTTTGATACGTTTCACACTAACTGATTTGTTATCAAAATCATAAGTTTCTAATAAATTTGGATTTGTAAGTTCTCTTCCTTTCGCTGCATCATGTCGAGGAAACTTATCAGAGTCAAAACGTATTGAGTTATTAGCATCTTGTTCTTCAACTAATACATTCACATTCGAGGTTTTAGCATCTTTCAGAATATCTTGCAATCCATGCAAGTGAGCACCATTTGTTGTACAATTGACTTGCATTGCCAACTCATTTTTTTCTTTCCTACATGACAAGTTGATAGCCTGATTGTTGACATTCAGAGTACTAGATAATTCAGCTAAACGAAAGGGAGCAACATTCTCAGGAATAGGTTGAATTCTAAATGTACTTTGAGTGTCTCCTGAGCTTTCTGAACTGTGAGAAAGTGAGGAACTGCTAAATCTATCAAGTGATCGAGCCTAGACAAGACAAAAAAATAGGAAGACATAAAAATTTTCAATGATTAGTTTACAATTGTTTTGAAAAAGTTACCTGGTCAGGATTTTGTGGACTTGCTTGCCCAGCCGAGTTAAGCTGTTCATGAAGACTATCCAGCAGCAATGCAAGAAATTCCTGGCAGTCATGCTGGGGAGGTTATTGAGACAATAAAAAATCATCATTAGAAAAATACAGAGACTTGGAAAGGAATGTACAAATGAAGTGAGAGAGCTATGTACCTGTCTATAATCCTGAAATTGAGGAAAATGGACACCTAGAGCTTGTTTAAACTCAATTGGGTGCACAACACGGTTTTCCCCACTCCACATCCGTTGAAGAAGAGCAGAAAACTGAGCTGTTAAAGATTCAGCTGGTAATTTATCCAACAGGGGCCGTGCACCAAAATAATGCAAAATAGTAGGTGTGTTTGAAAGACACTGAAGACCAGCTGACATAAAGCAAGTATTCCCCAAATTTCTTAGACCACATACACCAGGGACTGCAGCAGAATCTGACAGAAGAATACACTGATAACTCCAAGAAAGATGAAGAAGTATTACTTTCTAGAGACAAAATTATTGGCCAACTTACCCTTGACATCCTCTAAAGGATCTCCATTTGATAAGAGTGTATCAAGCCCGAGTGGTAGGCATAATGATCCATTTTCATCTTCTGGAAAAGTAGGAGAGGGAGGTGGAGGGGCTGATGGCATGGAGGCCTGTTGAATTACTCTGTCTAAAGAGCTTCCACATTTCATGTAGTCAACATTGAATGGACCAAATGTACCCGACCTAGAAGGAAAAAGACAGTGCTCAAATGATCAAATTTTCTGAAAGGAAAAGTACTCCTAAAGTAATACAAAAGAGACAAGTCTTTTGGTCAATATAAAAATTAAACGCACCACATAGTGTTGCTGTATTCAGTTCCATCATCATCATCACATTTTAATTTAGAGGATGTATCATTCCTGTGGAGGAGTTGGAAAGAAAATATAGCTTAATATCAATTAAGTTAGGAATGGTAAAAACAGCATGTTAACTTACCAGTCAATATACCTGTCATTTAAGTCTTCATCATCCTCCTCTTCATATCCATCACCTGTCTCTGTGTGAACACGAGAAAGGTCTTTCTGGGATGAACTTGAAGTTCTGTCATGTGATGTTGATGACAAATCATCACCTATTGGAGGGTACGGTGGAGTTCCAAATAAAGACATACTCTCTGGGGGCGCAGCAGGTAATGAATGTATGTCTACGGGAGTTTCACTAACTTCACCCGAGTCAACCCTTGAAACAGAAAATGCAACTTGTGAATGCTGAAAGCAAAAGCTTTGCATTTTAATATAATGTCCAAACAAACTTACCATAAATTTTCTAAGACCATGTTTCATAACAAATAGTTGAATCTGACTGGACAGCAATCTGTAAATAGAGGTCAAAATGCAATAATAAGGTTGAAGCCTAACAACCCTATGAGGTTAGGATATAATTGTTTGCGGTATGGAATATACACTTAAAGCTAAAACAAATAGTAAGTAACAGATGCAAAAGTAAAACAAAAATAAGCAATATTATATGTCCAAGTTTAAGTCTCTTCTGAGTCAATGGTACAAGCACATCAAGCTCCATAAAAGTACAAAAAATAAAATAAAACAACTGAATCAAAAATAATTTTATAGACCAGTGAGAAATAGACCCTGGCAACTTAAAAGTAGAATAAAAGATACTCCACTTTCAAGAATTGTTTGAAGGTTAGGTTTCCTTGTCTACGGCTGAGACAAATCTTGCTCACTAATTCAATCAATTGTAACCGCTGAGGATTTCGTTCTATAGAACACTGTGCTTCCAAAATTCATTCAAACTTTATCAATCAAAATAATACACAAGATGACTGTCAGCATCAGACAATGACGGTACCCGGATCCCGGCCAATACTGCTGAGTACGGTTCACAAACACACTGACGATAGAAGTATTGAGCAAAAGACTTGAACTTCAGTCATAATCGAAAGGATACCATCAACTTGGGTTCATACATATGCGTAAGTAAACATCCCACGGAGACTTAAAGGGCCTAGACTGAGCTCAATAGGCACTTGCCACGAACTGTCAAAGTTCTGGATAACCTTACCCGCAGAAGATCTTCTGCCAGAACGACGTATTCAAGACATTATTAATTAACAAGTATGTAACTGGCCAAACTCAGAACCTTCAAGATTACTATCACCATTTAGTAGAACAGTTTTTTCACACAGACCGTAACACACAACTTTAAAGCCAAGAAAAATTCCAAAACCAACAAGAAGGTCACAACCAGACACACACAACTACCACAGAGATGCACCTCTTTCGGCCGTCGCGCGCACCCTATCCGGCAGCGTGGTTCGTACACTCGCCGGTAGGTGGGTTGGAAGTTCAAAACCTTGGACAAAACATTTTGAACTAGGAAATTTTTTGCCTTGGAAAATAACTCTAGCGAAATCTTACAGTATCAAGAACGGGTGGCATTTTTATGAATTAATTCAGAATAGAAAACGTCGAGAAATGGAACTTTCCCCAGTGCCACTCCGACCGTCACCACACTTCATCGGCGGGATGTTTGCACAACTGCGGCTCGTCTGCTTAGGCTCTGCGCTTTCAATTCAAAACATTGAAGACAAAACAGAATTTTGCTGCTCGAACAGTTTGTTCATTAACTGATTACAGCGCCTTAAAAGGCACAGGGAAATATGGCAGAAAATGGTACGTTTAAACCTATTTTTTTCAATCTAATCTATCCTAAAACCTGTCTTAAAATGGCCATAACCTAACAATGTTAAGTACATTGGGCAAATTTTCGCCTGTAGGTATTTGTATTTAGGAACAACAATATTATGACAATGGCAGTTATATCTTTGTACTTAAATTTCCCATGTTTATATCAAGATAGTTGTATGGTGTATTTAACTTTCTTACCTAACCCTTATGTTCCGTTCAGGCGGTTCTGAAGTGACTCCAGCTCCAGAAAGTCCTGGGAAGGTGAGGAAAACTGTCAGTGTTGATGCAACTCCATCAGTTGACGAGCCTGAACCAGGTATGTTCTTGTTTTCCATTGTTAGAGTATGTGAATGACATTTTTTTTTTAATTTTGTAGTTTTATTTCAGCTGAATCAGAAGAAGTCACTGGTGATGAAATTACAGCTGAGGATGTTGAAGATGTCAATTGTTTGGTAAGAAATATTCAGAATATATCTGTTTTGATTCCATCCTAGATGCAGTTACTTAAGTTAATATTCTTCACGTGTTTCCATTTATGATTTAATTGTCTATTATGCTTACCATATTTTTCAGGAGCTTGATTTTAATCATCGCCAATTAAAAGAAATAAAAAATCTTGAACCTCTGAAATGCATTGAAAGGTTGTACATGCGCTGGAATCTGCTCAAGAAAATTGAAAACTTGTCCACTCTTGTGACATTGAGGGAATTAGAGCTTTATGATAATCAGCTCACTGTAATTGAAAACTTAGACTGCCTTGTAAACCTTGAGTAGGTTGAGTGACCATCATTTTTAGCAGAAGACAAAGAAAAATATTATTATTTACAAATCTTATGTACTCACAATTATTTATTTTTCAGGATTCTGGACCTGTCGTTCAATCGTATCACGCGCATTTGTGGACTGGAAAATCTTACAAAGCTTGAAAAATTATTTTTATGCTCGAATAAAATCCAGAAGATTGAAAACATCAACCATCTGAAAAACTTGCAGTATTTGGAACTTGGGGATAACAAACTGAGGGTACTCTAATTTTGAAGTCTTGAATTTTTCTAGTATGAGACATTGGGTTTTGAGTTATTCTTTGATTTGTATTTGCAGACTATTGAAAATTTGGAAGGACTGTCAAGTTTGACAAGTCTATTTCTAGGAAAGAATAAAATAACCAAAGTTCAGAACCTGGAGTGTTTGCCTCAGCTAGAAGTACTTAGCCTTCAGGTGAGAAATAAAGAAATCAACAAAAGTAAAACCAAATACTTCATCCAATATCTAAGTGTTTTCCCTCCCATCAACAATCAATTATTTTATTCTTAATAACTTTTTTCTTCTTAAGAGTAATCGATTGACAAAGCTGGAGAGTCTTGAAACCCTGACCAAGCTGGAGCAGTTCTATGTGTCAGAAAATGGTATAAAAGAAATAGAAGGATTGGAGGCCAACTTGGAACTTACCACTCTGGATCTTGCCTCTAACAAGATAAATCAGATTAAAAATGTGGATCACCTCCCCAAACTGGAAGAGTTTTGGGTTAGTATCTTACAATAAATTTGTATATTCTTTCCCCATTGTTCACAAAACGAACTTTTGTTACTTAAAAATAACTTTTATCTTTTTTCCAGTTGAATGATAATGAAGTAGCCGATTGGAATTGTGTTGAGAAGCTTACAGCAAATAAACAACTTGTGACAGTGTATTTGGAACGCAACCCACTTTCAAAAGATGCTGCATATCGCCGCAAAGTTATGCTTACCCTTCCATGGCTACAACAATTAGATGCCACAATGTGCAGGTTAGTATGAAAGTTTTTTCCTATTTATTATGTATCTCTTTCTTTGAAATTCAAAAGAAATCTTACAACTGCCATAGTTTTCTATCTAAGAGCAAGTATGATTTCAGAACATCTCCTGATGTTTAAATTATACATTTCATGCTGCCTGCTTTTGAAATTAGAAAAACTCTCCTCCCTATTTTCCCTTGAAGTACTTACTCACCTCTATCATTCTCATGTACACAAAGAATAATTTTTAATGCGACCTTATCCTTGTTTTTATTTACAGGCGTGAATAATCCACTAGATCTACTATTTTTGTCAACCATGCACTATAAAACTAATTAAACTGTTCACAACTACACTTACTTAACCTTTTGAAGTGGTAAGTGGCTAAGCTTTGGAAATTGATGTACATACTAACAGAATAAATAGCTTTACAGTGTAATGTTAACTGATACTATAAGCGAGACTGTGTGTTTTCAAAATCATACAGACAACTCCATTATTTTACCCTGTCTCCACTAAAGACTGTTCTAATAATCATGTTTTTATACCTCAAGTCTTGCTTTTAAATTCAAACCTAGGTATTTGTAAAATTAGTGGTAACTTCATCAAATGAGAGGTATCTGCTGTCTGTGTCAAATCAATTTGAAAAGAAATCGAAGTGAAAAAATACTCAAAGAACTATCAGTCTTTGTATATTTTTCCAAACAATCTTGTTTTTAAAGTAGGTTGGTAAATGTTTCTGGTTTGCTAAATGTTTCCTGTTAGTTTTGGACCAATTGCCAAATTTTTGATGTTCCTGTAGAATAATATTAATATTATCTAAATACATTGCACTTCTTGAGCCTTCTTGAAAATTTTGTTTGTTTCTGAATTGTCATGGTTTTCTAAAATGATCAGGAGTGAATCTGATGGGAAGAACTACAATAATCTAAATGAGGTGTAAGCAGGAAATTTCTTATCTTCAACTGTGAAGGACATTGTCTCTCAAGTTTAGACTTTGTACTTAAATATTTATAATTTTTAAAAATTTATTACTGTCTATCTATCTATCTGTACTATGTATATTTCATTAAGAGAATTTATTTTGAATGCAATCATCATTCAACATGTTTTAAGTTGACCATTTCTTCCGTGTGCTACTAAGTTAAAACTTTGATTCTGCAATTTTTTTGTAAACTTAATATTGTATTGCCTTTAGTGAGGTGTGATGTATGATGAAGGGAACCACATTTTATAAAGCTGTGATTTACTCTTCTGTTTAGATTTTAACATCGCCTTCAAGCGTCCTTTTTATTTTTACCACAATGTACCTCTCTGTACTTTTCTATTGGGAGATCAGTTCCCACAGAATGTGCTAGAGTCTGCCAACATTTTTCTTACCCTGTCAGAAGTTTTCTTGAGCAGCCAGATACCATAGCTGTTACTATCACTGTTTGTCAATCAGTAAATTAAAAAAGCTGGCAATAAATGCAATGAAAGCTTACATTGTAAACTTATTATTTATCTGCCCTATGTACATGTATTCGATGTAGGGGTAATCAATGTTAACTACCCTATTATGACGATTTAACATTAAAAGCATCATCAGTACATCTTTTGGAATCAGTCAGTGCAATGTGCAATGTAAGCAATATCTTACATCTTGAAGGTAAAGAAAAGAGCAAATTTATTCATGAGTGAGATTTAATTGGAGCCTGGTTCAAAGTATCCAACATAAACATAAGGAAGATGTAAATCACTTTAATGTTTTAATATTTTTATTTTCCTGGAGGGCATGAGCGACTAATTTGTGTATGGGTTTGCATGCACTCTCAGTCTTGGACACTGCGTTGGAGGGGACCGGGCCGAGGCGAGGGCGTGGCTCCCGCTGCGTGGTCCCGTGGAGGACCGCTGCCGCCGGCTGCCGTACAGCGCACGCAGACGCACCTTGGCCGGATCATGTCCTGATGATGATCGTAATGATAGTGTGCCCTGCCGGGCCTGTGGCCGGGCCCTGCCCCGTACGGGCGGCCATCGCATGATCGATGAGTCATACCGCGCGTCCGGCTGCACAGGGCTGCTGCCGTCGCACCGAAGCTGCTCTCGGGTGAAAATCTGGAGCCGAGATATGAGTCACTATCAGGAGGACGTGATGGTATGGTCAAAAGTGCCAAAACAGCAGACCTCGATTCATAGAAAAGACGCTGTATTATTGCTGATTATGCCTCTGCAGTTTTGTTTTGGTCCCCTACATCCCGGATGAATAATATCATTCCCTTTGCTCTCTAATGAGATACTCTGATCTCACATGCATAGAGCAAGGCGGTATTGAGCACACAGAGACCCTGCCCCCAGTGTACTCCCTCTCAACCTCACGTCACTGCAACTGCTGCAGGTCGGCCGGCTGGCCAGCCGCCCGTAATAAATCAATCCTTACTTCCAAGCTTCCAGGAGAAAAATGCGTCTTGTTCCGTTCATTACAGTTTATTTTGATGGTCTATCTAGTCTCTGAGCTACCCGTTGCGTTGTGTTGCTAGCAGTGGCAGGGAAGTCCTCGCTGCGGCTCCCGCGTCATGGCGCGGAATTCTCTGTGGCGGAAGTGGTATGTTTGTCCGTAGTGGCGGGAAGTAGGCTTCGACAAAAGCTAAAAATAATTTTAAGTGTATTTATTTTTCGTTTCTTCGGGACGATTTTAAGCAACAACCATGGTTTACCATGCACTCAAATAACAAACAAAGAGAGGCAGAAAATCAGTCAAGCCTCTTTATTAGATATGGGACTGTGTGGGTTGTCATCTCAGACTTGCTTATAAACATAAACGGGAGCAACTTGCAGCCTACTCATTGATAATTAAAGACTTCCTGGCTTTGAATGTTGACTTTTAAGGCATTATTTTGCCTATGTATAAGCTTAAAAAGATATAAGCTTGTACTTTCAGTCTTTTTACTGAAATATGCCATTGGGTAAATTAAATAAAGATCTAACAGCCATAGGTAGGACACCTGAAGAATCCTATAGTTAAGGAAACAGCGTCAAATTGAACGCAAGAATGGCAAACATTACATTAAATTCATAAATATGATGGGACATTTCTTAGAGAAAACCCTCTTAGAAATTAATTCAAGCCACAGTCTATTCAATCAAGCTCACATGATTGCATATATACATAAAAGTGGCATGAAATTAAATGTACATGATTCGTGCTAGATCTAGTTTCCTGGTTATATTTGGCTAAACTGGTGGTTCAGATTTGGAAATCATCCCAAACATTCAATTTTACTAAAGCAATTGTAATGATATTATAGACAATTAAGAGTGCAATTTTGCATTTTTATGCTGTCAGATTAGGTAAAATTTGTAAATAACTAACCACATAGATTTGTCCCTCCGACACTGTGCAGACAGTGCAGATCATACATCATTTGAAGGACACAATAATCTAGTGTATCTAGCAGAAAGTATCACATTTGAGAGCTTCCTTTGTGTTCCCATCGTCTGAGATCACTATAAAACATATACAATAAATTCAAATAGTAACAAAAATCATTAACATATTGTACAAAGACAATCAAGATCACATTGAAAGTCCCTAACTCTAAATAATATTCATGTATTCTATCTGGAAAATGTGCACATAATATCACTTTAAATTACAAAAGGTTTTATATAGATTTATTTTTTTACAAACAAAAATTTATAACAATTAGTTGTTTTGAAAATGGTAGTGTGAGATATAGAACGGAATGCAGTTAATGCACATGTATTTGCAACTTTCATGGCGCCAAATTAATCCTGCTTAGACTAAAATGGTCAGGTGTTATGTACTCTATGACATCACCAAATTATTCCAAAACACGCTATAGAGGAACACAAGGTGGGTGCCGCTGGCCAAAGTAGCCAGCGCCCCTAACAATCGTAGTTTGGCCTCGATTCACATGACTGCGCAATCCCCCCAAGAAGGAAGCGCGAACCGTAAATTCACTATAACTATTCCTATAAGTCATATCACTGATCACAAATCCTGGACACACGCATTTCATTCATCAGTCACTACACGTCATCAGCGACGCATGATCTCTTCTATGCTAAAACCCTGCTTTTTGGGGGCAGGGGGCGGCGCCTGAACTGAAATGGTAGGAAGGGCGGGTGGGGAGGGGCCCGCGGGTGGCCCCGGGGGCGGTACTGGGGGTGGCACGGGTGTTGGTCCTGAGTTGGGTCCGAGACACGTCCCGGAGGCTGCGGGTGAAGGTGCGGCCGCGGCCTGGGAGGTAGAGTCGGCCACCGATGGGAGGGGGCCGAGGCCGGGAGCGTCGACCTTCTTGACCACCCCCGACAAACCCGACGGCCCGGGCATCTCCTTATCACGGAGAGGGTCCCGGAGCTCCCGGAGGAGGTCCCGCGGTCCAACGCCAGCGCTGGAGCTTGATCCTGAACCAGAGCCGAGGGTGGTGGAGGCCAGCCCGATTCTGGAGAAGGGGAACGCATTCCGTCCGAAGAAGGGGTTGGGCCTCCCGGGCCTCCCAAAGGGATCGGTGGGGTCGGGTACGCGGCGTCGGAAAATGCCAAACCCGCTGGGCGCTTCCCTCGGCGCCTCTAGGTCTGACCGCACCTGCAGCTTGGGGGCCGGTCCGGGGGTGCACTCGGGGGCTGCGTCGGGCTTGTCTGGCCCGGGACGCATGGTATAGGAAGATGACGACGTCTCGTGACAGCGCGTCGAGTTGGGCGCGGCCGGCAAGGTGGACGTAGACGCCGAGGCCGAGGGCGATGCTGACGGCAAGGGTAGCGGCAAGTGTGACGGTGAGGGTGACCGGGACCGAGAGGGCGACACCTCTCGACTTGCCCGGTCCATAGACAGAAGGCGCGGCCTCGGGGACAGGCGGGAGTCTACGTCCTCGTCGGAGTCCGTGTCCACGTGAATGTCCTCGGGCTCGTCCTCGTCGTCATCGTCCTGGACGGACGGGTCCTCTTCGGCTCTGGAAGGGTCGTCATCGGCCTCTGGAGGAACATCCGCCCCGACGGCGTGGGTGAGGGCGTGCCGGCGTAGGTCACAGTTCCGACGGAACACCTTGCCGCAAGTGCCACACTCGTACGGTTTGTGGTCCGTGTGCGTCAGCAGGTGGGTCTTGAGGTTGGAGCGCTGGTTGAAGGAGCGGCTGCACACGGGGCACTTATGCGGCGACTCCTCCAGGTGCAGGATCTTGTGCACGGCCAGGGTGCGCGATTGGCAGAACCCCTTGCCGCACTCGCCGCACTTGAAGGGCTTCTCCTTGGAATGGATGTACCTGCAACAGGCAAAGAGTGACGAAGCATTAACATCAGGCGGTGAAACAGGCAGTGTGCAAGTTTTGGCCGAGTAAGCCGAAACCCTTTTTCCCCACATGGCCGTCGTCGGAGGCATTCGGAAACTTCAACACGATGTCCGCCTGAAAAGAATACAAATCCCGCCTCGCCCGCACCCCCTCATCTCTCTCTTCTCCTTTATCTCCTTTATTTTGGAGCCGGGAGCCCAAGAGGGTGGTGGTGCTGGTGGTTTGGGCCTGTCCCGCCATGGTCCGGCCCGGCCCCCGCCGTCCTCGGCTCCCGTTGGGGCGTGAGTGTGTTTCCAACAATAGAGGGCCAACATGCCCAGGGGCCGCGGGGACCCGATGCCTTGTAAACCCGAGGCTCATATGCATAACACAAGGCATGGGGTGTTCCATTAGGGGGGCCCACCCCGGCACGGCTACCAACAAGGCCCTTGGTAGAGCGCGGACTCCAGCGCGCAAGCCTCTTGGCACCGCCACTCAACCCACCGAGGCGCCGAGTTGTTCAAAGGCACTAAAAGCGAGCCGAGATAGTCTCAAGGAGGGGCGAGAGATTAAGAATTTTCATTCCTACCCAGCTGCTAAGACAACGTACGAGAAATTGATACCGTTGTCATTGTTAGGCATCTGATAGGAATATGAGTGTAAATAAGACCTCGTTAAAAACGAGGGGGAAAAGGGACAAGGTCGGAATACACAGCGTGTGTGCACGTTTACTTGGCTCATGATAGAAAGGCTGAGCTGCCGCGGTAGGAATCGAACGCTCTGCTACTGCCGCCCGGTTAAAATAAGGAGAAAATAATTGAAAAATAACCAACATGTTCCCTGCGTGAAGTTGGCAACGCTGTGGATGTGAACCGGTCCTGCGCTGGAGCAGGAGAGCGAGCGGGAGTGAGAGAGGGAGAGAAAGGGGGAGAAAGAGAGAGACAGACACAAGGATGGCTGGGTGATGCATGAACAGCAGAGGAAGGAGAAGAGAAAGAGAGAGAGAGGGAGGGAGGGAGAGAGAGGGAGAGAGAGGGGGGGGGGACAAAGGAGCAGGGGCAGTATTCTTGCCGTCGCCTCACCGTTTTTGTTGCGGTAGTAAAGAGTCCTCCAATATCCGCTCGCAACACACACACACACACTCACGCACGCTCGCACACACACTGATACAGACTTCCTCTCTAGACATTTGCCGTGCGCGCTGCTCTCCGAAAGCCTTGTTTGAACACTTTGAGATGAGAAACAAGCGTTTTTGTGATCGACTGTGTTGTTTACACTCCGGCTTCACGCAATCAATCTGGGATCTACTTTCGTCACATCGGGCGTGATACTCAGTATTTTTTTTAAGGTGCATCGCTGCATGGATTTTAATGTACAACATTATTGTATTCAGTGTGGGGGGCAATCGCCACCGCTGCGCAGCAGCCAGTAGGGAGCATACAGCGCAGCGGGCCGCCGCGGACATAGGCAACCCCGCCGAGCAGTTCTGCGTCGTTGGCGCGTTCATTGCCTACCCGACAGGCGCTCTCGCGCTGGCGTCACGCCACGCCCCGGACCCGGTTTCTTCGGATGAGAATAATACGACTGCGCGGTTGCAGAGAGAAGGGGCGATTACCTTCCCGGCGGCTCTTTTACACCCCGTCAATGTCTCTGTAAGTCCCCGGGAGGGGCCGGGCGAGGCGACTCCACGGGGGCTCTGGGCCGGTGCGAGAACCACCGCGTCCCGCCGCGTCCCACGGGCCCGGGGCCCGGCCGGCACCGGCAGGGGCGGCTGCAGGAGGAGCCCAGGGAGCCCCGAGTGCAAAAGTTGCGCGCAGAGCGTTCAAACGGGTTTCGGCTCGCCTCGCGGCAAACATGTCCTGCCCTGCCTTGCCCTCCCGCCGGCCCTGGGCGGCTGGGCTGGCCCAGGCTGGCCTGCTGCACCGATATTAAACGCGTCTTGCACGGCCGGGGCCGGGATGGGCGGGCGGGTCGCCTGGTC